TTTTGAGAAAGGAGGGCGAGAATTTTAAAGCCCTGTATCGCTCTGGTGTGGCATATTATCATCTGGGAGACTTCAACAAAGCCCTGCACTACCTGAAGGAGTCACGCAAACAGCAGCCCACAGGTCAGTCGGATCAAACTCTCACACACTACACTAGGGTTCATGGACCTCCGGAAATCTGTCTCAAATCTCACTGCACAACCACGGAAAGTTATGAGAGTGCAACACCAAATGTTCACTTTTCCAGTGGCCTTGGTTCCATAATACATTTCCTATTCATTTAGTTTCATTTATAAATGTTAGCTTTGGAACATAACCATGCTCTGAAATGAACCACAACATTGCAACATTTTATTTGTTACAAGTATGATATCTTGTTGAGAATTGCAAAGTTGATTAAGAGTGAGATGCATTCGATTATAAGAGGCCGATCGAAAGAGGTCCTTGGTTCAAAAAAGTTTGACAAATACCAAATGCAATTATGTGTTTCTGATGTCATCAAAAAACAGTGTAAAAAGTAATTGTTACATTTGCAATAATGTGAACCAATGAGGTCATATTACAACGAAACAAATATCTCAAAGAACAAGTGAAAAAGATTTTAGAAAATGCCAGTGTAGTCTGATTCACTTGCCAGTATGATGATAATATACTGTATTATGTGTAAATCATCTTCTTTTATACTCTATACTAAGTCACAAAACACTATCTCAGCATTTCAGGGCTTCATTTGAGCTCTTACACAAGTCTTATGTGTTCAGGTGCAAGTACAAGAAGCAGCTTCTGAACCCAAAACACCTGCTCTTCAGGACAACAGTGATTGTGCTGATAGATTAATAATAAATAATCACAAAACCGAAATGATTTTTCTTTCACTACACTTCCTGCCTGCGTTTTCTCAGTTAAAACAGCTGTTTCCTCTTTGTCTATGCATGTGGAACAGACACAAACGTCATCCGCTACATCCAGCTCACGGAAATGAAGATTCGACGAAATGCCCAGAGAGAGAAATCAGAAGTTCTGTAAAAACAGCAGCTCCCGCTCGAATAGCTTTCCACTGCGGACACCCCACACTTCCCTCATCGCACTCTCTGTGGACGAGGTTCTACATTTCACGGAAGACTTTATTCCAGTGCGGATCAACACACCTGTCTCAGTCCTGTCAGAAACAGTCTCTGGCTCAGACTGAAGAGCTGAATCAGGTGTGCTGTGCCCTGCTGTAGACTGTGGAGACCATGGATGGAGACCACCAGGGATCTCAATGGCATTTATTATGCTTTTTGAAGTACAGTAGTGTTGTCAAAATGTTTGCTTTTATTCCTCAGTTGCATTTAAGCGAAAAACGAACAGATGTATGTCTCTCAAAGTGGTTGTGGTCTGAAGTTGTGCTCCACAGAACACCCTCAGATCATTTTGTGGCTGGTGAAACATAGTTTACATATTCCTGCAGCTTTTTCATTTGCATATTGTTTCCAGATCATGACAAAGATGTTTTTATTAGAGATTCTGAAGCAGTTTTGCTGGAAACACATGAAGCTCCTTCATTTGAAGTGCAGTTAAGTGTCACTACCAGTGAAAACGATGCCAATCATATACAACCTACTCTTCACTTAACACCCACATTCAAATCGCAGTGGGAAAGATCTCACACGCAGATAGTGGGCTTAAGTGTACACACACACACACTCAGTGGGCATGAGTGTAAGCATGTGAATCAAGCACAGTCTGACACGCATGCAAAAGCATGTAGGAGTAAAATAAACTGGTCATTGTTATACGTAGGAGTGTGTGTTTTTTTGTCCATGCTGGGTTGATTTATCTCTGATTCTTACTGATGGTGAGGAGTGAAGATGTTAGTTTGATGATAATCTTTTAATTTTGACAGAGAAGGGATTTTATCTATCTATATTTTCACTGTAATCAACTGCTTATTATGGGTTTTACTTGCAGCTAAACGGCAGGTACACAAAACTGTCCAATTCAGTGCTCCATTCTGGTTGCTATGGTGAGGTTGCATAGAAATCTTTCTTGGAGACAGATGGGGAAGCTGTCCTAGACATGCAACAGAATGTGTAACAAGAATGAAATTTCATTAAATTGCTGAGCAAATATTCAGTATTTCTTAAATTTGCAGTAATGTGGACCAATGAGGTTGTATTACTACAAAACAATAATCTCACATTTAATAAATCCCATATATATATAATTATTATAAAAATGGTGAATAGGGTGGGTCAAATTTTATCAAGTGGCTAATCACAGTACACTAAGACAAGTTTTGTATTAGAAGATTTATGAAAGGTTATGCTTCAATATGCAAATTATGCATTATCTAATTAAATATGCATAGATTTGCATACAATTGCAGAACAGAAATCTGAATGTCAAATAAAGCTATGTTCAAAATTCTTATTTTTTTGAATTCTTGTTTTATATAATATTTCTTTGTATTGCTCCAGAAATCAGAAAATACTGTCCACTGCCAGAAAATAAATTCACCGTGTTTTTAGGAATAAAATGTTACATAAATCAGGTGAATTATTATATATGAATTAAGCCCTTTGTAAAAAAAACCTTCAGAATATAGTTGGGAATAGAATGGAAAAGTCTGGTCTACATAAGTGATAAAGTAGAGATTTCTGGCTCAGTGCAGGATAAAAAAAAACATTTTGAGAAAACAGCCTTTGAAATACAAAATTGAAATTTACAGATGCAAATAGATAAAGTAATAAAACAAACACTTAAATGTGTATTTTGGATGTTTTCTTTATACTAGTTTGAAACAAGACATGTTGTGGAAGCAAAATAGCTCAAAATTGATCAGTGTATGAAAAAAATAATGGGTTTGTCTTGTCTTAATGTTTATATTAATAGAGATGAAATAGAGAATGCATTTGGAAAATGGCAGTCAAGTCTCATTTAATTGCTGTGATTATGATAATATGTGAAAATCATTTTCTAGTTGTGTACTCTATCCTAAGACAGTCAGTCACAAAACACCACATCTCAGCATTTCAGGGCTTTAATTGAGCTCTTACACAAGTCTAATGTGCTCGGGTGCAAGTACAAGTTTCATAGCAGCAGCTTCTGAACCCAAAACACCTGCTCTTCAGGAAAACAGTGATTGTGCTGATAAATGATAGCAGATGCTCCTGATGATGGCTACACATTCCTTTAAGCCATAAAAAATACCGCTGTTCCACATACAGATGGAATGAAATAAGAGTTCTCAAATCCTCAGCCAAATGTCCTTGCCAGATTTCAGGATTCTGCATTCTACTGCAAGTTCATTTTGCCGTATGCATGTAAAATTATGTTCAAAATCTGGTTTCAGGTGACAGAAGGGGGAAGACAGACATAAGCACTTGTGTTTTGGCTCTAAATGTTGTTTTGTCTCTAGAGGGCCTCTTCGCCAGTGTAGAGATGAAAGATTGGACTGAGACGGAGGACAACGAACACTGCTGTAAACGTGCAAAAGAATGTTCACCTTGAATGTCTGAACATGTTCAGAAATGTTTGTCTTCATCAATTTTATCTTAACAAAAATGTGAAAAATATAAAAAGAATTTAAATAAATATGTGTAAACTTATATTAACAAATATTGCACTAAAAATTGCAAAACAAATTCAATATGCATTCTGAATTGCATGCATAACACACACACACACGCACACATTCACACCACACATACTGCACATGCACAAACACCGGAAGACTGCAATAATGTACCTGACTATTGTATAGCTGAAAATGTAGAGCCAATAAATTCTAACTTAAAAATTCTTTAAGACGTTTCCCCATGTTTAATACTGGTGGTTTGGATAGTGAAGAGGTCACTAAACAAGCATATTATTTGTGAAAGACTATGTGTTGCATGCTACAGTGAAAACCACAGAACAATCAGTGATCTCGAATGGTCTAAATATGATAAGTATGACAGAACTATACATTCATGAGACCGGAAAAAGCACTTCTAAAGGTGTACAATCTGATTTATGTATGAAAAATAAAACCTGAAGTCTCCAATGAGTATCCACCATAAACCATGTTCCCCAGTTAATTCAGTGCTATGTTCAGAGAGCTAAATCTACTATAAACATGCAGACATGTGTACAGTACATACAGAGAGGAAGTCAATACAGCGCAGCAGGACAGCTGAGATAATACACTCAATATGAATAAAAAAAGAAGTTTGCAAATAAAAAAGTGTCCTGATAAATGTCTTTCAAGATCTCAGCTGCAGACCCTGTACTTTTCTAAAGCACTCAGAAATCAGTCCGGCCATTAAAGAAGCATCTGGATTGTATTTTTATTCGATAGCTTATAATGCCTGGTGGTAAATAGTAGAGTTTACTGAAGAAGAGCTTATTAAACGCACTGTTAGACCCCACACTGCAATAAACTATATACTTTCTCAGTATTTTTGTCTTGTTTTCTAGTATAAATAAACATTCTTGAATCAAGATACAATTACTTTGAGAAGCAAAATGATATAAAATTGTTTTCTGAAAAATATAACAAAATTAAGTGAATTTACACTTAAACTGAGAAAAAAAAAAGAGTAAGAAAATTAACTTGTTTTCCCTTTAAAGCAATTGTAGGTAATTTTTCCCCCTTGAAATATCAGTTTCAAAATCATTCTGATGGTACATTAACTTCTTATAAGGTGAATGGCTTCGGTTTCTTTCCCATTCTCCCCCCAAATGTCTGTTCTAGGAGCTGTAAGTTTAGTGAGAGGGAACTAAATTCAGAGAGAAGGGCGAATTGCTTTATGGCAACAACAAATTTAGGTGTACAGCTATTGTATTTACGACAGTGAACTTCACTCACTTAACTGTAGGGGGCTTCAAAGTCGCAAAAATACACAAAACTACATACAGTTGATTTAAATTGGACAAATATTTCTTCTTCTTTTAAGCATAAAGACACTTAATTCTGATCATTTTTTAAGAAAACTTCATTTTGATTTTCAAGTAAATGTATCTTGATTTAAGAATGTTTCGATATTTGTACTGGAAAACAAGGCAAAATATCGAGGAAGAAAATGAGGAGTGTATATATGTGTTGAAAATCTGTAATATTGAATTGGACATAGATTAGACCATAACTGCATCTGGATTATGCAAAAACCAAGCACCTTTGGTTTATGCTGGGTAATTAATCCTTATCACTACAATCAGTTCTTAATATTGTGAATACATATACTGAAAAAAAAAAACATTTCAAACCAGACCAAGTTGGTTTGCTGGTCTTAGTTGGTCTTCTAGTCCAGTCAAGTTGGTCTATTAGCTGGTTTAAGAGGGGTTTTGGGCACTTGGGCGACAAGTTGACCACCCAGCTAGCTTGACCAGGCTTAAACCAGCTAAAACCAGCTTAAACCTTACGTTTGCTAAGATAAGCTAACCATCTTACTCTGGTTTAAGCAGTTTTTTTTCTCCAGGGTATCCAGAACTCCCCTTGCATTGACTTGATAGTCTAAGTGCTACATCTGAAACCAAGTGGGTCTAAATTTGTGAAGGTGAAATCAGGAGCAAAACCCTGGTCGTACTCTGTAAGGTGAGTCTCTGGGATCTGACGAGAGAGGCCGTGTCCCATCCCTGTATTGTCCTTCATCCCGTTGGTCCAAAAGGCTGTCATTTACCCAAGGGGAACAGGGGGTTGGTGGTTCCATTGGAGTGGGCAAGACAGCCACACCTCCTCCAAACTCCACAGTGGATGGGGTTTCAGTGCTGGACGTGTGGGCAGGAGATTCGCCCCACTGGGATCCACAGCGAGCTCGTGGACAGGGGCGGGGCCTAGCCAGGAAGTCCAGAGTCTTGGGACGCTCAGGTTGGAAGCGTCGACGTGGCGTAGGTGGGAAGATGAGATTTGGATCGGGAAGACGGGGCACCTCTGAGGGGTCCTCACTTAAGGTCCACGGAGTCACTGCACATACAGCATCACAAAAGGCACAAAATGAAACCAAATTACAGCTACGAACTGAATCAGTTTCTGTGAAAGGAATTCAAATTGTGTTAACTGAGGGATCAATGACGTATCAAGAAAATGAATATTTTAAATAGGTTGGAAATATCTAGTTTAAAACATGTACGAAGTTCTCTCTAAATCTACTCTTTGTTGGTTTTTATGTAGTTTTACAAAACTTTTATACTATTTTTAAGAAACGTTTCAATTTAATGACAATGTAGTTTACCTATCAAAAAAAAAGTTATATATTTTTTGTACACACCTTAAAAACAAGAGTGTAAACATTTTAATTATCAATTAAATTCCAATATAAATAAATCAATATTTATGATTTAATAATTTATGAGTTATAATACAATGTTATTTCTATATTTAATATACTATATATTATTATTTATAATTGACATTATTTATACCAAATTATATTATGTCATATATATATTATATATTATATTCTTATTTATTTATAATATATGAGTTAATATGATAATTAATTAAGGAATTAATATGAGATTTAATCATATTTTAAGACTTGTGAATTGTGAAATAGTCAAATATAATTTTTTCTGCATGTTTTTTGCATGTTGGTTGCACCACATGATTTTGACAAATATTTGAAAAAATACTTTAAAAATGTGAACAATATTCTTTTAAAATTATATATTTAAAAATATTTTAATATGAATAAACAGTGAAGTTGTTTTGTTAAAATATTTTTTTATAAGTTGAATAATAATAAAAGATGATGCCAAAAGGCTTTTTCTTTATTATTAAATCACGACAGTATTACCCTATTTTTTAATAAATAGATCCAGACAAAAACATAAGCATCTTGTCATTGACCCAGAGGTTTGCATGAGTTTCTCACCTGTTGTTTTGGAGGGTGTGGTAGGGGCAGGACTGTGGTTGCTATGGGCAGACAGGCACCCCATCTTTATTGCACCATCTGAAGGTGTGCGATGAAGCCTGCAGGCGGCACTGGGCGCAGAGGGCACGTGTGTGGGCGTCAGAGACTGTCGAGGGTGCCGTTTAAAGCTCTCCAGGTGGGTGTTGACCAGTGGGTTCAGAGGAGGCGGGGTCTGTCCAGGGGGCGGAGCAGGGGGCATAGGTGGGCGTAGCACGAGCAGCTCTTCACTGTCTGAGCGCAGAAGAGATCGGGTTGAGTTACAATCAGACACAGATGAAAGAGACAGGAGTGTGAGGGACATGGGCAGAGGGGGAGGGCGACGGGGGCTTTCCCGTTTGAAGAGTTTGCATGTGGGTGGGCTGGCGCCACGACTTGGACCCCCACTACGGTGAAACAGCCCTTCCCATCGCGGACGTACAGTCTCTTCCACACGCACCAGGTCCAATAGATTTTGACCTAAACCCACAGCAGCCAGAACAGCCCCGCAGCCCAGCAACACCAGTTCTGATCTACGGCTTCCACTGGGGCTCCGCCGTGTATAACTGGGGGAAACGTCAGAAGCCATTCCAGTCGTGCTGCACTCCATGCCGTAACTGTCCGTAGCGGATCCATCCCTGTGGAACGGGATGCAGAGGTATGATTGGCCAGGGGAGTCAGCTGACTCCGATGGGAAGCAGCAGTCCTCATTTTCTACAGAGAGAGAAAGAGACGGGTGGGGGGAGAAAGATTTCACAAAGTTGCACCATAACCAGCCTTCACATCTTGACAGTTACAGGATGAAGTTTTTTTGATTTATGTTTTTTTTAATTCTCCTTTGTTGCTAATATTATAATGTAAAAAAAAATCTGTGACATTTCAACCTAGTTAGATGAGCTTAAACTGGTCTATTGCTAGTGAGATAACAGAAATGTCAAAATAAGGAAAATGTGTCATCGGCATGATGCAATGATGCCAACATAATGTCAGCATCACAAATTTTCAGCATCACAAATTTTCAATCTTACAAATGTTAAGTTATTTAAAGTATCCACATAGGAGTGCATGGCCGTGTGACACAGAGTTGGGCAAAAATAGGAATTTGGCCACATGATGAAGAATTGTAATTTGAACTGGAATTACTGGAAGAGCAATTTACACAACAGAAAAATTTTGTTATTCCAACTCAAGTTTTACAATGATTAATTCTTGCTAATTATTGGCTATTTACTCTTCGATAGATATAATTTATTTACATTATTAAGAATTTATTTATTTACAGATTTTACTTGCCATACAGCATCACAAAATATCTCTACACTGTTTTTAAAGAATTTTCTAAAAATAAATGAAGGCATCATTACAGTTAATGACTGAATATTATTTTTCTGGAAATAAAACATATGTTGTGTGATAACATATTTATGTGTATACATTAAATACTAAAATATTACTAAAATGACAATTGCAGCAGTTATTAAATGTGTTATCGATTGTAAGAAAGTGCCAGAGTTTGAGCAGACAAAATGACTGGAGATGTCCAGCATATATCACTAAAGAGAAATCTGTTGTATCACCGCAAGTTCCAGTTATGACATTTTGATTAGGGATGCAAAACGATTAATCGTGATTCATCGATTCAAAATAAAAGTTTATGTTTACATACTATATGTGTGTGTTCTGTGTATATTCATTATATATA